CGTAGTCCTAGACCCGGACGAGCCAGGCAGCACTGCGCATGCGGAAGGCGCACGCGGGGGCTGTCGGGACTCGTAGTTTCCGCGCGGTTAGGTCGGGCCCCTCCCGCCGCTGTTCCCGCCTTGGGGTCTGACTCGAGGGGGGCAGCTCTCGTGCCAAGGTTTTACCGGGCTTTGCATCACTCCGCTGGTTTTTATGCTGCGATGACAGTAGATGAGAGCTCCCCGCCTTTGCCTTCCCATTTCGTGTGGCACAAGGCACATGTGTCCACTACCTGTGCCATGCAGCAACAGGATGGTTTAGCAGCGCTCCAGCGTGAGCTGTGGATCAAGCTCTGTCCCCGCTCAAGAACCACCAAGTCCAGCAGCAGTTCGCTCCCATGCAATCAATCAGTAAGGCCTGTCTGCAGAGGTATCTGTGCTCTTCTTCACCTGCTTGCTGCACTCTTGTCCAGGGATCTGTTTATCTGAAGACAGGAAACTTCCACGGCAGCAAATCAACCATCTCACTTCAAGCACTTTGCTCCTGAGGCACGAGCAAACAACTGAATTCAAATGCTCACGCCCATTACGCTCTAACATGCACATTCTGTAGGTTAGCATTTCAGTGATGTAGAGCGATTCACTCTGAATTTCGGATGGGGCTGGCATCTAGGCATCCTTTGCATAACTGCAAGGCACAAGGACATCTACCTGCAGTAAGACCTCAGCACCTCCCCTCTCATCTCTTAGTCACTGAGGGCTGCTATCATCTGAGCGCTGTTGCTAGGCCCTTCGCTTTAAAACTGGGGAGCAGCCTGTGCGAAGAGATGAGTTGTACAAGACGTTACTTTTAAACATGTCAGGACGGTTTCACACCCTGGTTTCAGGTGTTAGGAAGCTCCAAAAACCAGAGCCTTCAGCAAAATAGGATGGATGGCTGTGTTACTGTGGGTGCATGGGAGGCTGTCCTGGTCCATCTGGCTGTCACAACAGAAAACAGAAGAAGTAGTCTCAGATAGTTTCAACATATCCTGTCACCGGCTTCAAAGACCAAAGTAGCACCTTAAGCAAGAGCTTGTATGCGACTTGATGAACTGGTCCAACTTCTCTTTTAGATGTAGGCAAGACCTTGCATGGGAGACGCCTATAGAGGGGTTCAAAGGTGCCTGGTTCTATGGGCCTGGCAGTCAAGGGGAGTGTAGCTGCAGAGCAGCTTTCCCACAAAAAAGAAATGATGAGAGAGTTTTGTAGCGATGAAAGCCCACACCTTTCAGAACAGTTCAGCCCCAAGGAAGCAAAGAGAGTGGGTGAGGAAGGTACCCAAAGCTGGCGATGGATTTTGCAGTATGAAAGGGGCAAATAACAGATGACGGTTGGCAACGTGCCATGGTGGACTGAGCTGACGGGTCAGACAAAGAGACGCAAAGATGGGACAGGAGAGGAAGAGATTTTACTGCCTTTTAAGTCATTATTATTTTTTATTGTGGTGGCAGTTAAATTCAGTGCATCTTCAGATATTGTAAATCTGGGTGAACCAGGACTTCAGACAGGATAAAAGTTCTTCAAATTACTTTTATTGTCCAATTCATCAGTATTTGGAAAATTATTCTTAATACGTGTTTTTCAAGCTAGGAGAGAGCGAGCCATGCAGACCTCTGCAGCAGCCTCCTTGGGTGGGTGAGAAAGTGGCATAGAGAGGTTTATCACTTACAGTACAGTAAAGGGCAAGATTTGAGACAGTTGAATCAAGTGAGTGACATTTCCAGCTACTGTTCCTGTAGCTCAGTGTTTCTTGACTTTAGAGGCAAGACATCCTCACTTTTTTTCTGAAGAGGCAGCTTGATCCTGTTACTTTTAAATAAGTTATAACAGATCAGGTTCTGACAGGTAGTGCTTAAAAGACAGACCTGACCAGGAACTAGCTCTTCCTTCTCAATTTGGAAAGGCTGAATATATGAAATCTTGTCTTATAACGGAAACTGAGACTACCTGCAGCAGTTAGGAGCAAACTATATTTTTGAACTCGTGTTACATGGTGCATCTGCATATCTTGTGTTTGTTTTTTCAATACGCTTCCTTCCACCCGAGTCAGTGGATTTATACTCTTCCTTCCCTTCCCCCAACTACGGTGATTTTAAATGGCAACCGTAACACCTTCTTTATTTAGCACTTGCTAACCCACCTGTTCTGCTCACTTTCCCCTGGCTCCCATCTATTTTTGGAGACATCTGGGTTGTAGGAAGAACTAGCACCTTGAAAGGCAACTCATCTCTGAACTGGGGACACGGTCCAGAAAAGACCTCTCCCTGAGGTGAAGTGACTGGAGGATAACAAGTACAGTCTCCTGTGTTGGTAGACTGGCTTTAATATAAAATATTAAAATTTAATATTTAATATTTAAAAGTTAAATATAAAAGAAGTGTGAAAAATCAGTTGTTCATTACAGATCACATTTCTGCTTTCTGCCTCTATACAGGTAAAGTCTATTGCAGAGCCACTTAGCTAACCAGCAGTCCTCTTTATGATACCTTTCAATAATCTCTTACATTTCCATTGCACCTTTTATCTCTGAGTGCTTTTACAAATAGTGGAAGAAAATCTTGTCTTTAACAGCCTGAGCCATATAGCGGACAGCAGACATTGGAGTGGTGCTGTTAATGGTCTGGGACCCTTTGGAAGGCAGGATTACTCAGCTCTGTTACCTCTGGAATGGAACAGAGCAGCTGTTTAATAGTGAGCACCCGCACTTTGTAATTGTTCTGGGTAGGACGTAAGTAATAACCAGACTGCAATAATAATACTAGTATGTTACTTTCCCCTTCTTTAGCACCTTTCATCCAAGGAGTTAAAGAACTTTATGACATTAAATTAACTTCAAAACTGCCCTGTGAGATAGAAAAGTATTTGTCAGCAACATTTTACAGATGGAAGCTGAGGCCTGAGACGATTAAATCGTTTAAGAACGATCACAAGGGAAATTATTCATATAGCAAGGGATAGAATTCAGAACCCCAAACCTCAGCTTAATCCCTTGACAGCATCCCTCCTTCCTTCCCAAAGTGAATCTTGCATCTAGTTAAAACAGCAGGAAGAATTCAGGCTGCTGGAATGTATGAATTCACATGACATTTGGTCAAGGCAACAGGATTAACACATCTACTCTTCTGAAAAGGTGGAGGGATTTTTAATCCTTGTATCTGAGTCAGTATCTCTATTTCAGCATCTCTATTCCAGCCTTATTTAAGGATGGAACCGCTAGCAATAATTATATATGAATAATAAGATCACTTAACACTAAGAACCTTACGCTCAAGGACTTCAGTGCTCTTCACAAATATTGGCATAACACCCCATAGGACTGACATCCCCTAGGACACTGGAGCATTGGGGCAGACTGACTGATATGAGAGAGCGGTACCTGGGTTACTCTTGGAGTTCTCCATGCAAGCCACCTGCTATGATGGACGATGGTTTTCCATAACTATGTCCACCACCACCAAAGCGCTCGGTGCCAGTCTTCTTGTGAACTCATCACCTCTTAACTTGGGGCTTTTTTCTGGGGAAGAAACCCTCATTAATTGGTATTATTTTTAAATATCTGAAAAATGCTTTTGGGTAATATTTTAGAAAAAAATGTAATAAATAGAGCAAAATGACCAGACATAGTAGTCAAACAAAACTACAGAGCATATGATACCCTGATAAGATCAGGTACAACACAGCCAGTTGCCACCTTGTATTCCAAACAACAGTAACCCAGAATATCCGCTGGCATTATGATACTGCTCCCTCTAGGGAACTGAACAAGCATCATCAAGCCCAAGCATGTGATTTAGGAAGAGGAATACAGCACGCTTATCTACATAACGTTTGCTGAGGAGAGAAGACAAGTACCCTGAAAAGGACCAACTCCTGGGAGATGCACACACCGAGAGAGAACGTTCCTCTGAAGCAGCGGTTCTGAACCTCTTTCAGTCGACGTAGCCCTTGGGCTCAGAGTGAGACTTCACGTACCCCCTTGCAATGGGAAATTAAGTTTTAGGCCCTTCGACCTGTGTTAGACAATGTATGAAATATATCTCACGTACCCCCAGTTCACAGCCACTGCTCTAAAGGTTAGATACAGTGACTTCCATCATTAACCTCAAGTTTCTGAAAAAGATTAAATCAACAAACATGTGAACAGACAGCAGAAATAAATAATGACAGAGAGAATGAAATATAACATTCATTTAGCTAAACCAGAAACCTCCCAAACCAGAGACTTAGTCAAATGAAGGCTTAAAAGGAGATTTCAAAAGAGAATGAATGGCAGAGAATAAAAATGGTATCTATGCATAGATGCAGGTACAGCACTGTACGGTCCTTGTCTCTCTTGACGGGCTCTTGGCAGTTAAACTTATATACTTCACTTAACACTGTAACAAATATTTTAACGTAGGCAGGGTGCAACTTACCTAAGAAGACGTATAGTTCCTGTAATAATATATGAGTGTCGTACTGTGTTTTACACGTTCGCAATACGGTACAAATATTCTCTCCCTACGCACACACCTATGGACACGTATGTATTGCGAGCAACAACATATACCGTTGCAAACAATGTTCTGTAAGCAATACGGTACTTAAAAAATATATGTATTGATAACAAACTCTCTGTTAAATCTTCATGAGTGCTCATGGGGCTTTCGGCAAGGCATACCTGTGCAGGCAGGCGTGAGAGCGAAAGACGACGGGCGTGTGCCTTTGCGGAGAATTTCAGGCCGTGAAAGAGGATAAATAAAGTCGAGGTTTACTTCTGAGCGCGGCACGCTGCGACCGTCTCACCTGGCGCTACACGCGGCCGGAGCGCTTTCAGCTGTCTGCGTTTAGCTTCTGCGACAAGCCCGTCCCCTCATTCCCGGCGCTCGCTCGCTGCTCGACAGGGTAATTATTCCCGAATATAACTTTGCGCGGGTCTTTCTTGCAGACCTGGAAGATAAGAAGATCAGAAAATGTCATTTTTCCAGCACGGGGAATGGAGAGGCAGGTGCAAAACCTACCGTTACGTCTGGCGAGTCTCCGAGCGGGCATCCCTCCGCAGGACCAGAGCCTGGTTTTCAACCGCCCGACCGCCCGCCCGTTTCCAATCGCGTACCCCTTTCCAAAGACTTTGACTTGACACCTGACTCTTTTCAAGCATCGATTTCCCCCGAGGTGGGGCAGCGAGCCGGGTCACGCGCCGCGCTCGACAGTGCGGGTGATTTCAAGGGGGTCAGGCGTTGTCGCTCCCGTTACGAGGACGGAGCCTCCAGGGACCGAGTCGGGGCGGGGGTCGAGACAGGCGACTCCATGAGGAAACCGCGGCATGGCCGGGCACCGGTCCACATTTGGGGTGCAGCCAATGGGTGAACGCAGGGCGGGGGCGGGATGCAGCGGCTGGGCGTCGAGGGGCCAGCCCCACCCTCACGCCCTGGGCCATGCCGCCTGGCTGCACAGGCATGAGGTCACAGGTCACTCTTCTGACGTCACACCCCCACCACTGGGGGGGGTGGGACTCTGCCCCTTGGGCTCTCCCGGTAACCATGGAAACTTCCAGAACGGCCCAGCTGCCCCTTCCCCCCTGACAGCAGCCTCCCCGGCCAATGAGCGCCTTCCGCTTGGCTCCCGTTCCGCCTTCCCATTGGCCCGCCGCGCTGGCCGGGGCGGGCTGAGAGGGGACGCCGGGCCGCTGACGTCAGGGCGCAAGAGCCGGTCCTCCGCCAATCGGGGGCGGCCAGCGGAGTGAACGCGAACCAATGGGCAGGCTCCAGCGCGGGGCTCGCAGCCAATAGGCGGCGTCCACGAAGCCGAGAAGGAGGGTATAAAGGGGAGGGCGGCGGGGCCTTCGCGCAGAGCAGCAGCGGCAGTTCGTGGCGATGGTCGGTGTGCGGGTGAGTGCGGGCGCGGCGCGGCCTAGGCCTGTGGCGGGGCAGGGTGCGGTGCGGGGCCCGGCTGACCCTTCCCGTCCCCTGCGCGCAGGTGCGGGTCCCGGGTGGCGGCGCCATGTGGCTGCCCCTCGTGCTGGTGGTGCTGGCGGCGCTGGGTCGGGTCGGGTCTCTGGGCTGACGGAGGGCGCGCGTCCCCGCAGCGTCGGCGTGTTCAAGAACGGGCGCGTGGAGATCATCGCCAACGACCAGGGCAACCGCATCACGCCGTCCTACGTGGCCTTCACGCCCGAGGGCGAGCGGCTCATCGGCGACGCAGCCAAGAACCAGCTCACGTCCAACCCGGAGAACACCGTCTTTGACGCCAAGCGCCTCATTGGCCGCACCTGGAACGACCCCTCCGTGCAGCAGGACATCAAGTACCTGCCCTTCAAGGTCGGCCCCGTGGCAGGCGGGGGGGGTGTGGAAATGGGACACTTGCGTCTCCTGGCCCCCCTTTTTTCTTTAAAGATTTCCTCTTGCAGAGGAAATCCAGATGTTCTGCTCGTGCATTGCTTTGAAACGGGCTATAAATAGGCCAGCAGCGCGTGCAGAGCTGATGTGTGGCTGCGGTCGCGAGCAGCGGGGTGTCCCTTGGCATCCCACCTTGGATGGGGCAGGCAGTTATTTTGGGTGGAGGGCGGCTTCCTGAGTTCTGGGAACCCATCGAGGGCCTGGGGGCAGATTTAATATTAATCTTCTAAACTTTTACTGGGGATCCGGGCTGCATTTTGCTCATCTCTGCCTTTAGATTGTGGTTCCTGTTCCCCCACCCCCTCCCCCATTACTGCTTCAATCAGTTTAGTGCCATGAGTACGTGGAACAGGTTGTCAGAAGTCCTGTCTCATCCGATAGGTTATTGAGAAGAAGGCTAAGCCCTATATTCAAGTGGATATTGGTGGACAGATGAAGACCTTTGCTCCAGAAGAAATCTCTGCTATGGTGCTGACGAAGATGAAGGAAACAGCTGAGGCCTACTTGGGAAAGAAGGTGGGTGAACTGCAGCTGGCCCCCCGTAGCCGCTTTGCTTGCGCAGGGGCGAGGCGAGTACCGGGCAGCTTTACACAGGAGACCAGAGGTGACCTGGGAATGAGCAGCGAGCGCTCACAAAGATGCAGGGTTCAGACCAGGCAGTCGCCTTT